AGCTGCTACCTTGCCTATCGTGATGACCCGACCGAGCTATATTGGCTGGAACTCTGGTTCCTGTAGGTTCTACCATGCCAGGCAGGTCGATAGGAGAACGATGAGACTAAAAGCAGTTGCTCAATGTCTGAGGACGAAGTCGTACTGCTGACTGACTGAAGAGGGGCGTGACAGCAGTAAGGTGTTTCCCTCGGACAACCAGCATGTGCAGCGATGCTGCCTTCTGACAAGGAAGGAAGGGTTAGAAAAGGTCGACCGTAAATATGTCACGCCTCACCCTACCTCACGGATTTCCGTCTCCGTCGGTAACAGCTGCCCACTAAGGGCTTTTAAGAGCGGAGCTAATAATCAAAAAAACCTTTCATGAAAAGGCCGTGCGTGGCCAGCCCGAAGAAGTTGTCCCCTGGGCTCGGCGGTCACGCTCCCAGGTACTTAAGACCAAACACTAATATATCTTACTTTTCAGGTTCCTCAAGTAACACCCTTCCATGATGTGAGCAGCTGGGAAGTGACAACCTCTCTCATACTCACATCAGAACTCGAGATCAAATTGATCAAAATCAAATCCTTCCTACACCCCATAACATCCCCCTTATCTCGAATACTAACTCATCTCACATTCATTTGTCACAGTGCATAGCTAATGCAGACGATGCAAGTTCGCGAAACGTCGTTCCTGGTCTCCTTAAACCCCGTTCTAAACCAAACGTTGGAGCATTTAATGTACGGACATTGTGTCAAATAGGGCAACAGGCATCATTAACTAGGACACTAGAATCTCGTGCCATCGATGTGTGTTGCGTCTCGGAAACGCGCATACAGGATCCGAGTATCATCATTCACTTGACCTCATCATTTCAAGATGAAGCAACTCGATTTACCCTTCGTGTATCTGGAAGCCCTGAAGCGGCTTCCCGGGATCCCGCTGGTGTAGGTACAGCATTGACTCGTAGGGCAGAACTAGCTCTCCCAGACTGGTTCCCAGTAGATAGTCGCTTGTGCGCCGTTCGACCAAACGGAACAATAAGGACTCGTAAAATAGGAACACTCGCCGTCGCCTCTTCGTTGTATCTGCCTACGCTTCCACTGACTGCAGTTCAGACGATATGAAAGATGAGTTCTTCAGAAAGCCTTCGGACCTCCTCCAAAAGTTATATAGTTATGATATAGTTATAATGGCTGGTGACTTCAGTGCTCAAGTAGGTAGACTAAGTGATACTGAAAGACACCTAGGTGAATGTTATGGTGTCGCGGCACAAAGAACAGACAATGGCGACCGTCTGTTGCAACTGTGCTCACATAACCACCTATTTCTAACAAAAACACTAATTTTAGGCACAAGGAAAAACATCTTTTGACCTGGCGAACTCCGAAGTCGTCTCAACGTTGGACGCAACTAGATCATATCACCATCAGCCACCGATGGAGGGGTTCGGTAAAGGTCAGTCAGTCAGTTACGACGTAGAACTTCGTACGTACGTACATCAGTTCAGGTTGCCATACCACATTAGCACGGAGATGTAACTGTAAAATCAAATCCAATAGTGGTAGCGCTTGAGACAGGGGGATGTTAGAAGGAGTAGGATGGATTTGTTTGTGATCGATTTGGTCTCGCGTGCTGCTACGGGTATGAGGTCGGATGTCACTTCCCGGCTGCCCACACTGTGGAAGAACAAACATGTGCAAAAATATCAAACGAAACTTACAGAGTACAATTTGATTTGTTTATCAAATATGTTAATTTCTTTTAAATCCAACAATTATAATTATGAATAGGATAGATAAAACAAAGTCAGTCAGTCAGTCAGTTGCAACGTAGAACTTCGTACGTATGTACATAAGTTCATGTTGCCATACCACATTAGCACAGAGACGCAAATGTCAAATCAAATCCCATAGTGGTAAAGATAGTAGAGGTATTAATGGTAGTGAAGAAGAATAGGGTTCGAAGATATTATTCAAGAAGTATAATTAGGTGAGATAAGGTTAGAAAGACAAAGGTAGAGGTGCTGACGAATCCAGAAGATTAGGATTTGAGAGAGCACAACGAATGGATGCGCTTGAGCCATTGAAAACGAATTTGAGCCATGTTGTTCAAGGTCTCTAACCATCGGTGACTTTCGTCTCGCAGACCCCAACCAGGTAGTCTACATCTACCAACATGACTCAGTCCACTAGTCAGTGACTTCATGGATTTCTGCCATGTTTTGGTCTGGCCCCATCTAGCTTTATTCCAACCTACTCCTACACCACAAAACAGCTCGTCGAGGTAGTCGGTGGTTAGCCATACGTAACACATGTTCCAACCACCTCAATTGATGAAGTTTCACTACTTCATCAATTGATCTTCCATCGTTACCTATTACTCGTTTCCTAACGACAGCATTGCTTACTCGGTTGTCCCACGATATACGAGTAATGCTTCTTAAACATCTATGATCGAATGCTAGTAACCTACGAACATCTTCCAATCTTAACGGCCATGTTTCACATCCATATAGTAGAACGGAGCGAACTGCTGCGCAGTACACTCGTCCTTTGGTTAGCGAACGGATATCAAGCCTACGACATAAATGATGCAGGTTGGCAAAAGCCAATCGAGCTTTCTGTATCCCTGCTGAGATTTCGTCAGTCACCAGGTTATCAGTACTGATGCGACTCCCCAGATAAGTGAAGCAATCAACACGCTCGACTACTTCACTCCATATCACTAGTTCAGGTGCCGATGCAACCCAGTCTTGAAGCAACATTTTGCATTTCGAGGGGGGAAACCACATCCCGAACATGCTCGCATTGTTGTTTATGGTAGTCAGAAGACTGCATTTTGTCAGCGTCTTCACCGAATAGAACTATGTCATCGGTATATTCTACGTCAATAAGCGATCCCCTGGTAGAAAGTCCACCTTTGAAATATCTGACGAGGATAATGTTGACCCTAAAAGCATGTCTACGACAAAGTTAAACAAGAATGGAGACAGCCCTGACGGACACCACTTGAAGTAAAGAATTCAGATGACATTTCGCCATAAGCTCTCACTCGAACAGTGGTGTTTGAGTAGAGAGCTTGTATAAGGTTAATGTACTTCTTTGGTACACCTTTCAATGACAGACTCTGCCTCAGAATCTCACGATCACCAGAGTCAAATGCCGCCTTAGGTCCATCAAGACAACTATTGTAGGACGCCTAAATGTGTGTCTGTGTTATAGGACCTGTCGTAGTGTGAAGACGTGGTCTATACTGTCCCGTCCAGGTCGAAAACTAGCCTGGTTTTCTCGAGTTCGCTCTTCACGAGCTTTAGTTAGACGTCTAAGTATTATGGGGGCTAACAATTTAGAAACTATATAAGTTAGACTGATTCTCCGATGATTGTAACAAGAAAACTTTTGTCCTTTCCTATAAATTGGGACAATTAGGGATTGAGACCAGTGGTATGGGATTGTGTCCAGTTCCTAGATTCTACCTAAGATTTCAGTCAATTCTAACTGCTAAAACTAGACCACCATCCTTAATAATATCAGGAGTTAGCCTAAAAGAACCCGCAGCTCTCCCTCGCATTAGATTTCCAATAGCTTTCTCAACTTCATAAATACTAGGAGGACTTATGTCGATTTGCCATTCGGGATGACTGAAGATCGTGGGCAATCGATGTACGGCTGAAGGCCAGTTGAACAGATGCCTAAAGTGTTCTGCCCGTCGATCCAATTTCCTGGGTTGAGAATGAATGATACAAGCATCCTTTTGTGAGATAGTTTCCCTACTATGAATTTCTAATACCGTTTTCCTTTATAAGGCGGAAAAGTTGTCTACTGTTGCCTGTCGCCGCGGCTATTTTCATCGCCTTTGCTTTCACCACCCACCACCGTCCGCGGTCGTTGCGTAGGCTGACTTTGCACTAGGGCATGATCTGAATCTAAGCATGTGCTCCAGAACGAGCGACAGTTCTGTATTGAACCCCTCCATCGGTGGCTGATGGCAATGTGATCTAGTCAATTCCAGCGTTGAGACGACTTCGGGGTTCGCCAGGTCAAAAGATGTTTTTCCTTGTGCCTAAAATTAGTGTTTTTGTTAGAAATAGGTGGTTATGTGAGCACAGTTGCAACAGACGGTCGCCATTGTCTGTTCTTTGTGCCGCGACACCATAACATTCACCTAGGTGTCTTTCAGTATCACTTAGTCTACCTACTTGAGCACTGAAGTCACCAGCCATTATAACTATATCATAACTATATAACTTTTGGAGGAGGTCCGAAGGCTTTCTGAAGAACTCATCTTTCATATCGTCTGAACTGCAGTCAGTGGAAGCGTAGGCAGATACAACGAAGAGGCGACGGCTCATTTTCGGTTAAGGAAGAGTAATCAATATCCATGGTTGAAGATTTTAAGAGTGGTATTACTAAAAACAAGTCAAAACACTGCAAAGCTGAATTCATCCTTCACATTTTCCGCAAAAATTCACAATTTCCACTCATCGACTTCATTCATTTCATTTGAACTCTTATATTAAGATATTAACTAGTATTCCTATTATGATTGATGATTTCTGGTAACAATCTATTATTAATGACCAACATAATATTAGTGTTATAGTTAGATAAGGGCGTATGAAGGAAGCTTAGTCACAGTAGAATGACATTTTTTTTAAAAAACTCAAAATTGAAATAATCTTTATTTAAAAATCCATAGAATCAAAATGAATGAAAGAAAAATTGGCAAAATATCACAAAAAAATCTATACTCATACACACACACACACAGCAGGAAATCAATAGTAGGCATAGTTATTAAGTAAGACGCAAATTGTTTGCACACATCTATGCCATCAAAATAAAGATGCACACATGCATACTCATACACACACATACATAATAAACTAAAACGGTACATAATCATAACAATGCACCAGGCATCATAGTGTATCACACATTTGAATATTATCACAGAATGGAAGGAGAAGATGAACTGAGCAAGGCAACCAACCAAAATAGAAATTCTAGCATCATCACGGATATCTATTATTCGGTTGACGAAGTAAATTTAAAAATGTCTCATCATCTATATGTTGAACAGAGAATCGATTAAATTCTTCATGTTCATCATCATCATGATCGTAATCAGTGTTATGACGAACTGTTGTATCACAACCAATATTATTCATAGTTTGATCAAGTAATCTTTGTCTATCATCTGATGTTTGTTGTAGTGCAGATGATTTGCTTGAATTTTTATGATGATTTGTTTTAATTTTTTTTATATTTTGCAAAGCAATCGAATTGTTCGATGGCACAACAGTAGATTGTTGACATCGATTACGAAAACGTCGTTGAAGTAAGAATAGATTTGGTTGATGAATAGGATAATTTCGTTTATTGTCATTACCATTATTATTATTGGGAAATAAATAAGGATAATGAGTGGATGTAAGACATGTACATATGATATAGACAATGGATATTGTAGTACAACATAATAAAATAATACTCACTATAATATCATCAATTTGATTTTGTGTATTCATTAGTTAGTTAGTTAGTTAGTTGGTTGGTTAGTTGGTTGGTTGGTTGGTTGGTTGATTGATTGATCAGATTAGATTAAAATTTTACAGAATAAAAAAAAAGAAGAAGAAATGGGAAACAATGATCAAATTAGGAAAAGTTTACTGTCATCAAAATTATTAATCAATCAATCAGTTTGATTTTTGTTTTCTAAATAATATCAATCTATTTGATAATTTGACAAATATATACCATTGAAGATTGATTGAATAAACTAATAGAAATACTGAAAAATAAAATAGGATGGATGTTACGGTGGTTTATGATGAGTAAGAAAGAATATATAAGTCAAACAATGAGAGAGAGATTAAACAATGCCATTGACTAAAAAAACAAGTGAGCAACTAACATATACAAGCAAACACAATAATGATGTACAAGTACATACTAACAGTAACACAGACAGGTGTAGAACTTGTTTATATATGTAAGGAGTATTAACACTGAAAATGCAATTTATTGAACTGTTTACATCAAGTGGCGTTCATCACTTGACGTTCACTTTCTTCATTCTTGTTTAACTTTGGCCAATAGAAATGACACACATTCATTGTCCGGTTTTTCAGGATTTGTATTTTTACCGCAAGACTCACTTGTACTTGTCGACTTAGAATATGCCGATAAAATAGTTCTACTTGGTGAAGATGAAGCAACAATGCAAGCGTGTTCGGGATGCAGTTTGCCCCCACCCCTCGAAATACAAAATGTTGCTTCAAAATTGGTTTGCATCGGCAGCTGAATAAGTTATATGGAGTGAAGTAGTCGAGTGCGTTGACCGCCTCACTTATCTCGGCAGTCTCATCAATGCTGATGGCCTGGTGACTGACGAAATTTCAGGACGTATACTCAAGGTTCAGCCGGCTTTTTTGGCATATAGCGTCACTTATTGCGTAGGCGAGATATCCGTATACTAACCACAGGACGAGTCTACTGAGCAGCTGTTATCTCCGTTCTACTCTATGGGTGTGAAACATGACCACAAAGAGACGAGGATATTCGTTGTTGACTGGTTTTCTAATATTGGTGTCTTCAAAGCATTGTTCGTATATACTGGGACAACTGAGTGAGCAACGCTGTTGTTATGAAATTGGTACTAGGCAGACTAAAAAGCAGCTACTCAAGGTCTGAGGGAAAAGCCGTACTACTGACTGTGGAAGGGTGACAGCAGTAAGGTGTTTCCCTCGGACAACCAGCATGTGCAGCGATGCTACCTCCTCACAAGTAAGGAACGGTCAGAAAAGGTCGACCTTTGGGCTCGGCGGTCACGCTGCCTGGTTGCTAAGACCATCGCGAACCGAACTCCCTTATCAGGCTCCTCAAGAAATACTCTACCACGGTGTGAGCAAGTGGGAAGTGACATCCACCACTGTATGCCTAACAGCACACGAGACCAACTGACTGACAATGTGTTGATATTGAATGAGAACTTGGAACAAAGCATATTTACGTCAGGTTCAGATATCTAAGGATGCATGTATGTTGGTTGGTTTGAAATCTTGATAGTGGTGGATAATAATTCCATAGTTTACTTTTACTGTTTGGGAAATGGTATGGGAACATTTCGCAGTGCAGTGAGCAAGAGTTTAACGTTATCAAGTTTAGCTCAGAATATAAGGGAATGTCTACCGAGATCCAGTCTAAGAGGCTAGTTCTTCCCGACGACTCAATGCTATACCTGCAGCAGCGAGGTCAAGGGGGAGCAGCATCAGGGCTCTTAGATACACGAAGCGTACACCGAGTTGATTCTCTATCTGGACAAGGTGAATTAATCATTTACTAGGATCCTGTATGCGTGTTTCGGAGACGCAACATACATTTGTGGCGTGAGTTTCTAAAGTCCTATCTAATGAAACCTGTTGTCGTTTTGACTCTGTCCGTAAATTAAAAGCCCAATATGTGGTGAAGAACTGGGTTTCAGGAGACTGGATATAACATTTCATGAACTCAAATCGCTTACATTAGCGGTGCGGAGTGATAAAGGAATGTGAGGAGGGTTAGTCGTGGAGATAAGGGAGATGTTAGTGGGTGTAGGAAGGATTTGATTCTAACCAATTCGGTCTCGTGTGCTGTTACTGGTATGAGGGCGGATGTCACTCCCCATACCGTGAAAGGGTACTTCTTGAGGAACCTGGAGAGGAAGTTGGATTAGGGTTGGTCTGAGCGACCTGGGAGCGTGACCGCAGAGTCCGAGGGACAACTGCTCGAGGTCAGTCAAGCACGGCCTTTAAAAGGAAGTTTTTAAAGTGCTAACTCCGCTCGTCACACTCCCGGAACTCCAGGAAGTAAGGTAAGCTGTGACGTTTTTAGGGTCAACTTTTTGTAAATCCTTCCTTTCTTGTGAGAAGGAAGCATCGCTGCACATGCTGGTTGTCCGAGGGAAACACCTTACTGCTGTCACCCTTCCACGGTCAGCAGTACGACTTTTCCCTCAGACCTTGAGTAGCTGCTTTTAGTCTCATCGTTCTCTAATAGACCTGCCTGGTATGGTAGAACCTATAGCTCGGTTGGGTCATCATGATAGGTAAGCCCGACCTTCACGTCAAGGTAGAAGGTACGGTCGGGCATATATGTAAGTGAAATATTGTTTATTAATTGCTCACAACAGTTATTACAATCATAAGACAAGGAGAGCGGAAACAAGTTTCATAAATAAATTATGATTCGTTCTAAAGTAATATCATTATAGCGTTAAGAGAAGAAAACTGATCACTCTTAAAAAAAATCTCATAGTATATAACTAAAAATTAGACATACATTACTTAATCAGTAGTGATGCTAAAGTTGGACAAGAAAAACGTATAACAGTACGCACACGACCAGTTTAATTTTTAATAGTTAAACAAGAGTAGTTTACACGATGAATTGTTGAAATGTAGCTGTTTAAGAGGTCAAAACTTGCAAATCATAGCTGAAAATATGATACTCACCAAATTTTGCAACTGATTCTAGTGATCTAATGATTGTCCATCCGGGCTCCGAATACACAACTACTGGGCTGATCCGTCGATTATTCGAGTAATGTAAGCGAACAGGTACACTATCTTTTAAGAAAACATTCATTTTCGGATGTTTTCCGACCAGCCTTTTGTACAAATAAATAGACGAGATCCCTTTCAACATTTAAGAGTTTATAGAAACAGACAAATTACCATCTTTTGGCCATAACAACCAAAAAATACGATCTTCCGATCCTGGACTATGATACATGCTCTCGTTGATATAATCATGAAGAATAATTGTTCTGTTAGTATCCACCGCAGACATGCCATGATCACTTGTTAAAATAATGTTGAGTGATGACTTTAAGGAAGGTTTATTATCAACCAAAGATAGCAAGTATCCAATATCATCATTTAATTTTTCGATAACGGCATACATTTCTACCGATTCGGGTCCAGTTAAATGACCTTGTGAATCTGGTTCATGAAAATATATTAGACCAAGTGTTACTTCATCTGAACTTAACCATTCAATGGTTTGATTGATTCTATCGACTAGAGGAAGCTGATGATTATAGTAAGGATAATAAAAACTAGGTAATTGCCCTTTGAATGCTGTATTACTCCCTGGCCAGAATGCAACAGCGCTTTTATGACCGTGACGTTGATTTGTCACCCAAATTGGTTCCGATCCAACATCAAACCACTTTGATTGTGATAAATGCTTTGAGTTACTCAAGTCAAAAGTATCATTGAGCTCAGGATCATAAAAAACATTATCAACAATACCGTGACTCTCCTCATGCATTCCGGTTACTAGTGATAGGTGGTTTGGTCCTGTTCGAGTGATAAACTCATTGTACACTTTCATAACACGTATTCCTGCCCTCCAAATCCTTTCGAAAGAGGAAATATTAACATTGCGGAGCTTAGCATGATCTAAATAATCATGGCGGAAACCATCTAAAGATATCACAAGTAATTTATGTTGTTTATCGGATTCACAAATCACTTCGATCAGAATGAAAAATGATATCCAAATAAAATAGTGACAGGACTTCATAATCAGATAATAACTAATCTAATAAAGATTGCTTCGAAGAAGTGGGATTGTGTGAGACAGATTTTCCGATAAGGGATGCGATACTGGTTAGTTGCAAGGCTTTGTGTAGATAACAACGATATTCGCTCCTACTGGTCCAATAAACAGCATTCACGACTGAAAAAAAGAAATTGGGATTATGTTTTTACCTTGTAATGTTATATATTTATACAAAACATTATTGTTCTAATGGTAAATAACCACATCATTTTACTTTGGTTTTGATGGTAATTGGATAACTATGAAATTCCGTTTAACAGGTAATGACAGATACAACGAACAGAAATTTAAGATAGTGGATGTAGTATGTTAATAAAAAATATTTTCACCATGTGGATGAAAAACTAATGCCATAAAACTAAATATGGTCCCACTTGCACAGAATACATACAATAATAAGATCAGCTTCAAAATTTGGGTCCTTTATATTCTGTGTGAAAATTACACTGAATACCTATCAAAGATTCGCAACGATTAGTATTTATTTTAGATACTTAAGTGATTAACATTGTACCGACGGTTGATAAATTTTGTAGCTTATCTTTTGAAGACGTCAAACCACTCAATGAAGTTATTGGTAGTGGGTCTAAATTATGTTTACAGCTGTGAAGTCACATCGTCCGATATAAATTTTATAGGTGATTGAAGGCCTTTGGTAAAATGACTTGGTGCTGACTACCTGTGCTATGTTCACTTAGTTTATAACATCACGAAAGTTACAGGTTTAAATATAGTCGTAGTATTACCTTACACATCACTAGGGGATAACAGCGTATTACGTTATTGTCATCACAAGGAGGGAAAAGGTGGTTGTATCATAGATGGTTTTATACCTCACCCAAACCAATTATTATGATATCAGAACTAAGGTTGGCCCAAGTTTGACGATAATGCAAAACGAATAAATTGGGCGGAAAATTGCGTTCTAATTATAACATATTCCTGAATAGATATAGACACACAATTATCCCGCAGTTATTTGAATATAAACCAAAATTGAAATAGGAGGGCTGACTGTGTTTCCCGATGGTCTAAACTGAAATAGAAGGAACAGAGTGTAACGCCAGAACCATTAACCCATTGTCCAATAATTATACTACAAGGATGGAGATGGAAAGCTACCCAGAACACGTAAATGACTTATCAGAAAAAAGTTATGGCTCTTATTTTATAAGTGACCTTAAAAGCCTTACCATCACAAACACAATCACAGGACGAAGGCACATCTTGCGACCCTTAGTATAAATAACGCGGGCAACATCGAATGAGTACAATATCCAATATCTTGTACACCGGCAAGTACAAACCAATTGATTTCTTTGCGCTCTATTCTTGTTCTTTCGGCATGGTTACAGTTGTTCGGTAGTTTCCAATGAATGTGGGTCTAGTCACTCGACTGTTTAATTCTAGCCAGTCGGCAGTTATTTTTGGGTTTGTATGTCTTAGGATTTGAATGAAAACGTTTTTTTTCAGGGCAGTAGGGATTCTGGATACCAGCAGCTATCACATCACCAGACTGGAGATCAGTTACTTGCAATGTGGAGAAGAATAAGGATAAAATTATAATGCTAATATGAATAAAATTTCAGAACTAGTTTGTAGAATTCTTTTTGAATGTTTTGTTTTTGGGAAAATCCCTCCATGTTTACATATTTTTGCTATGACCTGATGGACTTTTTCTCCTGACATTCTTGGTATTTTATTTGATTCCAATTTGAGATTTTACCATTGTATGTTGTTATTCTTTCCATATTTTGTACTTATATTGAAGTTTTGTGTTTGCTTTTGAACTGTACATATATTGTTTAAATTTGATATAATATGGCTACCGCCACATTTTTGGATAGACGCGGTGGCTGCTGGACTTAGTGTCACTTACTAGCTATTGTAATAGATACTCTACGGAGTAATTTAGTCCTGGAAGAAACAAAAATACCGTAAGCCTCTGTATTTCCATTTTATATTAATATAGAGACGTTTTCTCCTAGAAAATTTGACCTTTTGATTTGGCTGGAACCTGGATCTAGGAGTAACGTACAGGAGTGTTTCTATTGGACGCGATTAGGACAGCCACCGGCGAAATAATTCTACATAGTTAATATGTAGATGATTCATTTTATTAACTGGAAGTGAAGATTGTGAGAATGGATGGAAATATAAGCAAGGGGGAGGAAACAGAGATAATAGGCGAGATAGATTAATTGAGTGATCTGGGGCGATGGTAATGATAACAACTAGCAGGTCTCAAGGTATGCGTCATGAATAGCTTGTCCAAGAGAGAGATGATAATCCGTATGTAGGTATTTGTTTATCAAGTCTCTCCCTAAAGCTGTCCACTAAAGGGCTGTAGTCGCCTCCGCTGCGAGAGCATATCAAGTTGCGACGACTCTTGATGAGGAAAAGTGTTCATGAACCTAAGTATTCGCTCTTTGATGTTCAATTTTTCGAGGATTGTCTGTTCAGGCTAATCTCCAGAATAGTTCCAAAATCAAACGATAGCCGAATCGCTGTACTGAGATACCGCGCTTACGATCATTCATTTTTTGATAAGCTGGCTTATAGCTTCAATGAATGCATAAACTCACACTTGACTTTTATGAGTAATTATATGGATAATGCGTCCGTTATATAATTATAACATTGAGTTTCAAACTTATTGGGTTAATAATTGTTAGCTATCCATAACGAAAGATTCTTTTGACAACCAATCTCGGATTATAGTGGCATGACTTTATTGCGACGCACTGGGTTTTGTTTAGTGCATTTAACAATTATAGACCTGAGCAGAACACACTAGTTTTGTTCATACGTAACACTGTTAAGCATAGTTTACTGGTATATAGAATTATTTCCCTTTATCTCACTCACACTTCCCATCGCTGTCTAGTCACCCATCGGTCAACATTTTGTTTACACATGTTGAGAATATGCGTAAATCTAGACGTGACCAATGTATGTTTAGCTTCATTGTTTTTATAACCAGTTATAAAATTATCACATTAGTTAACTAGGTTAGTTCATTACTGTCGTTATTGTTATTAGTAGTCAAAATTGATTTAAAAATTGTGAAGGCAGTCACTATGTCATATCAACGTTTATATTTTGTTAAGAATAAGAATGACTGATGATGTACGCCGGTCACAGAAGCTTCTCAAGATTAGCCAACAGTCGCTAGAACTGACTTTTCATTTGTACATATCTGCATATACTCCTCAAGTATAGATAACCTGGAACCTTAAATCATTGTATATGAGTGTGAGTTTCATGATTGACCCATCGTCCTCTTCGGTGGTATGTTGCATGAAGAACAAAGTCACAGTATCCATTATCTGGAAGTCTAACTGTATTACTCTCTTGCTTTGTTCGTTTGTTTATGATCATTATAACTAATCAGACAAGGGTTTTAAGAAAGCCGGTTTCTATGTGTCTTAAGGAAACACATAGATAATACGTCGGTCTTAAGAAGCCCGTTTTATCAATGGACGCAACTTTAACTATTTTTCAAAATTTCCAAACTACATTCGCAGTCAGATGACACTTTAGTTCCATTCCGAAGAACGCTGTTGTCACAGACTCCAACATATTCAATAAAGTTAAGTGACGATTCCAACTTCTGGTGGATGATCTGTAATATTAGTCGTTAACTAATGTTGTGTTTTATTGCCTATATTTCTATACCATAACAATTTCCTGAAAAACTGTCTGCACGTTCCGCGAAAACGAAGATTCATGTGAAATGAAAAATTCTTTATTTGAAACTGTGCATATCCCTTCTGTTCCTATCACATCTTCAGAGCAGTGAAGTCATTCTTAATGTCTGTTTGTCAATTTTTTCAAACGGATCCTCATTTACTTCTGATTTGATTATGACTCACGAGTCAGTAGGCAGTCGGACAAGGCATGATGAAAACTTACTTTATCAAAACAGTATGGATTAGCCCGTCATGGTACTGCATTACTTATTCTTGTTTCATATTATTAACTTTTATCCTCTTACTAACTTTGATTCTCACACGGAGGGTAAGTAGGACAAGTTACGTGAGATAAATTGTGATGGGAATGTAAAAGCTACCGAAACAAGATGACGCTTTAGGAAAGTTAGTGACAATTGCGGATTCTTTCTGGACTTAAGTGAACAGTATTCCTAATTATTGAGGTATGCGAAAGTTAAACACTGAACAACGTGAAGCGATTCTTGACCCGAATGAATAATTTTCTACAAACCATGAACTGGCATACTATTGTTTTTTAAATCTATGGAACCGATATTCATACGGAAGTCAATGTGACAGCTTAAGTTGATCGTGTAAAATGGACCCAGAAAACGCCTATCACAATCAAAGTATTATAAATGAAGTTATAAGTTACTTACTTACGTTGCTCATTATCTTAGATTCAGTGTTACAATGTTTAGTTCTAAGTTCAGAGCTCACTAGCAACCTATTTCATGTACCGTGGGTATTAGTCTATCACGAAAAACTCGAATTCGTACAGTAAATCTATGCAGTGACAGGTAAACAACAGATCCAATGGCAACACTTAGCCGGAGGTCGAGTGTTTCTCCTCTCAGCTAAAGAAACTGCGGTGAATTTAACAAAACGTTCTTTCGCTCTCTGATTTACAAATCCCTTCTAACTTATTCTTCTGTCTGGAATCAGATATAGACAGAATATCATCAGTGAAACCACGCGAACTGCCACTTCAAACCAAAGATAGTCAGAAATTTTGCCTGCGTTTTTAAAACACAGATTGTTTAGTTGTTTTATTATCGTCAGCTAAAATATGAAATATTAGCTAAATCCATATCGTTAACTGTTAACTATAGGTTAATGATATACCATTCGCTGCGACTTACCGAAAAACACCAATTGATTTTTTTCGTTTTACCTTCATTGTACGAACTTAAAGGCCTGAAACTATACTGCAACACCAAGTAAGCATTTGTTACTGTATTTCGACTATAGAGTGTAGAATCTATTTTGAAGGCTTTGTTTTTGGAAAATCTCTCCATGTATATATATTTGTGTTTTGATCTGACTGACTATTTCTGTTCGATATTTTGGTACTGTATTTGATCACATTTTGGGATTTTATCATTTGTATCTTGTTATTATTTCTATACCTTGTACTTATATTGAAGTTTCTATGTCTCCTTCTGAACTATTTATGTGTTGTTTAAAACTGATACTGAATATGGCTACAGCCATTTTTGGATTTGATACTCTAGCAGCAACTTGTTGCTACTAACTGGAAGCTTCACCAGGCTACAAAAAGGGCTAAAGACATTTTGATGCAGCTTTTTGGTCAAACGCAATTGATAGCTCGGGAAATGTCAGAAGATTTGGTTACAATGATCCAGAACATTTATTGAATTTAGCCATTCGAATGCCGAATTCCTCTGTGATCTTATAGCAGCTGAATTGTACCTCTGAAGTTGAATTCCTTGGAAACTTTGGAGAGGATAGTAAGGCTTCTACCTCATCTTATGTAAGTCCAGTGGGCCGAGCTGGAAATTAAATAGGGCGAAGAGGATAGGGAGCCTACATTCAATGAATTGACTGAGTTTATTTCGTCCAGTGCAAGGATAGCTAGTAGTAGATTTGGACGATTAGCTAATCGCCCAAAAATAGGACGTGATATTAAAGCGATTAGTCATCTGCGTGCAGTACATGGGAATCCTTCAAATTTGCACCTACCTCACGCCTGGAACTTAAGAAAGTTGTTAATTGTATTAGCAAGGTAAATCCTTCTGAAGACCGAGAAAGTAAGCCTCATGATTTAAAATTCTTGGTGTGTATTCTAGTGAGAAGTCGGTATCTGTATCAGATAAGGAGGCTTTTTTGAGGATGACTAGGAAGGAAAAAGGCAGAAATGTTAGGCATCAAGACGGATCCGAGGTATGCAATGGTAGAAGTCTCTTAACTGCGCGAAATGCAAGGAATGGTAATATGGATTCAGAGCTCGCTGCGAGAGTGATAAATATTTCTATAATTCGAAACAATATTTGGAGAAACATCCTTTGGATATCTTATTGTCGACAATAATTGAAGAAACGGAACCGGTGAATTCTAATATCTGATCATTATTGCATCAGTAATTAGGAGTTTCTTTTCCGCTGAATTTCATGTGTTATAATGAATTCTCGTAAGAAACTAAACACGAATAGGGATGGAGCCTATGAAGGATCATGGAATGAAAGGCAAGTTCCCTATGATGCTTCATGTTTAAAGGGTTCACTCTCTGATAAGGATGATATTATGTTTAGTACATATTATCGTAAGCCGTCGTTAGAGGGCACTAAGGGACGTAGTTTGAACGAGAATTTTGAGGAACCTGGGAAAGATATGATGTCTAAGACACTGGTAGTAGGCTTAGAATTGCCAAAGTGTAGTGAACGAGAACACAGGCGGGGCAACCGGATTGTATTTATCGCAAATTACAGGGTTACTCAGTAAAATCGGAAAACCATATCGTATATCGTTACTTTGCAAAATATCAGTCCATCATGTCGAACTGGACTGTTCCTGTTGCAAAACATCAATCCATTGTCACTATTCATGCGTTTCATACAAATTCCATTGTGTTCCCACTCTTCCTTTCTTGATCTTCCCCCATCTTCTGCTGCCAGACATTACGTTGACACTCACGTCATATACTACTTATAAGTAGCTCACACCACAAAAGGTTGAATCAAGTTATTTTGATGGTCAACACCGTGATTATTTTAAGTTCATCAGACAATTTCAAACGATAATAGAACCTAGAGCTGATGACGATAATCTGCGTCTATTATATTTAGCTCACTGCAAGAGTAATATATATTTCTACATAGAGCATGAAGAAAAACTTGGAACTGTACCGAAAGAATAATAAAAAACGAAGAAATCAGTCTGTTTGTACTAGCCTGTGAGAAAGACATTGGATCTTCCAGACAAAATTGACTCACCGGCATTGGTATACACAGATGGTGTAAAGATTTGTGGGTCCATAGGAAGCGAAGGGGATTCAAATAACCTTCGAGAAGACCTTACAGCCATTGAGGATTGGGCAGTGAATAGGCGTTTAAAACTAAGCTGACCAAAACTTCGCGTTATAAACATTCTGCGCAATGTGACGTAAATGACTTACCCTCAGAAGTTTATTCACCGCTGAGAACCTCCACATCAGTTCAAAATGTATAGGGAACGTAGCCAAGTCTGAGCTCCTAAAGGACCTAACATGCATTGAGGATTGGGCAGTGAAAAACGGTTTAAAGCTCAACCAGACGAAATGTCACGTCATGTACATTCTGCGCCACATGACGCAAACGATTTACGACCACTATGCGTTTAATAACTACTGAAAGCCTCCACACCAATTCAAACTGTATAGGAGACGCAGCCAAGTCTTATGCATCTCTCCACTTTATGAGAAGGCGACTTCGTGCTATCGCCGCACAGTTATTCCTAACGCTGTTGAAGACATATGCACGCCCAGATCTTGAGGTTCACAATATCGTCACACCACCTCTTGGATTGAGTGCAGAGAAGAGTAACTAAATGGGTGATAGGGTTGAAGAATAAAACTTACGATGATAGACTCTAGCATTTGGGATAATCCTCCCTGAGTTACATGAGAATCAGATGTGGTCTGATAATGGCGTACAACATATTAAGCACACCAAGCTATCACAACGTGGGTACCATACTGATGCATCGCCACCATTCCCCTCGAGGCAATCCTCCAAGAGTTGCGCATCGAAGAGCGAATACTCAGGTTCGTGAACACTTTTCCTCATCAAGAGTCGTCGCAACTTGGTATGCTCTCCCAGCGGATGTGACCACAGCCCTCTCAGTGGACTTGATAACCACGTACCCGCATACGGATTATTATCTCCTTCGTGGATAGTCTGTACCTGATGCATGCCTTGAGACTTGCTAGTAGTTGTTATTGCCATCTCTTCAGATGACTAACTTAATCTGTCTCGCTTATGATCTCTGTTTTATCCCCCTCGCTTACATTTCGGTCCATTCTCACAATCTTCACTACCAATTAATTAACTTAATTATCTATTTACTTACTTAGTTCTGAAATCTTATTAGCATTAGAATTTTCTTAATATTCTTCGAATATCAACCATCTTATCTCCGGCCAGTTAACGTGATAGCTTCTGGTATCCAGAAGCCCTACCTTTCTGAAATAAGCGTACTCATTCAAATCACGGGACATACAAACTCACAAACAAGTGCCGACTGACTAGAATTAGTGCAGTCGAGTGTCTAGACCTTCATCAATTGGACAAGAATCGAGCGCAAAGAAATCAATTGGTTAATGCTGGCTCGTGTACAACATATTGCGTGTTGGATTGTATATAAGGTGGTAGCGCTCAAATCGATTTTGCTTCTTACAGTTATATTAGTTTGTGATCAGTAGAACTGTTGAGTTAGGTAAGTAACATTAAACTGGCTAAAATAGTCACACTACACTAAAAACAATCCTCAGTGGTGTTTTTATCCAAATAAGTTTACTCACATACCTAGGATGATTGTTGTTTGAGGGACGAAATTACTAACAGGGTAATTGTCGACAATGTATTAGGACGGGATATTTTTGGTAAGATGGAAAATAAGTTGTTTTGGTCCTGTAAAAGTATCCACTGTTCTTACGGAAAACCAATGTTACTAATAGTGTCTTTAAAATCATTGAATGGCTTCCAGAGCTAACTATCAGCACTTACGATATTCGACGACAGTGACTCATCTTTGGTCACATAAGACTGTGTGAATAAAATCTATCAAACACTGTTCTGTTAATCCCAAAAGATTGGTTCAAATCTTTCTCACAAATTAAACAAGAATGGTGAAATAAGGGCGAACTTGGGGGAAATGAAGGCGAAACGTTTATTCTTACGCCGGATGTAGAGTACTTAGGCGAAAATCAGACTATCGTGCGTTAATTTAAGCGAAAAGTAGACTGTTTGGTGACCATGAGAGTGTAAACTTATAGTCCTTTCGCCTTTCATGAGATATTTAGGTAAAATGTTTCATTTGATCCCCACCCTAGGTTTGAAGGGAGATGCTGTTGCTGTGTCGACAAAAGTCACACCAAGTATTCGTAGCCAATGTCGCTTGTATTTACCACTTTTCAAATTCGGCTACAGCCGGTCTGAAACAAAATGAATGAAAATACCTTTCCCTAACATTTCTGTTTCTACAAATGCCTTCCGTTTCTGGTACAAGATGCAGAAATGCGACTGTTTATTGCTTAAAATATCAGAATGAAAGCTAGTAACAAAGTTGTACTGGTTTTCTACCACGTTTTTCATAAATGTGCTCAAACCCTTAACTGAAGGAAGACTTTATTGACTGTGTTTATGTTCTGACTGTATTTTCTATCAAATATTGTTCTTGTTCATCTGTTGGACATACTGTTATCCATGTGACATCCTGTTGCATCGGACTTTATATACCTTAAGTAGATAATTTTGAATATTATGCAGCCATGTAAAAACGTCCATTTAGGTATGAGTTTCCAGAAAATTGGGGCATTTGAAGTTTTCGGCTGGTCGATTGCTGGAAACGAGACCTGTGTTGCTGTACGTAAGAATGGTCAAGTATTCGGTTTTGATATTGGATTTTCACCTAGACCACTTGTTTTTGCTGATTATATATTTATTAGGTAAATTAATCGTGCTATTAATAATTTCTAGTCATGGACATGCAGATCATATTGGAGCTATTGCACAACATATGAAGAAGAGGGCCTTAAATGGACTAGGAAGGGCGACGTATTTCATGCCAAAACACCTAGTACCACATGTGAAGACTATATGTGATGCTTTCACTGCCATGTCTGAAAAAGCAGATTCAGACTTTGTTGGCAATTTTATTCCTGTCGAACCGGGAAATAAATATGAGGTTTGTTTTTGCTTACATCGTATATATGGAACCCTTCATATTTTCAGCTTTCGAATAATTGGTGTGCTGCTGCTTTTTCAACCGATCACTCGATTATTAGTATGGGTTATTTACTTTATTCCCGAGACTCAAATGGCAAAGAAGTTCCAGAGATAGCTTATTTAGGTATGTTGCAATTGTAATACAAGTGCTAGTTTTATGTTGGCAAACGAGTTCTGGTTTAACTAAATCTGTATTATTATTCTTAACAATGTGAATAGTTTTTCATCTGGGATTTGAACAGAATATTAAACATTTTTTTGGCAAACCACAACTGTACACATTAAAGTCAATGTTAACCCAGTCATCTTAGTTATTGTAGATTTCCATAATTTTATTCAGTTTCTTCTTTCTTCCAAAAGTTGTACGATCAGTATTAGCATCACACGTAATAAACATTTCGTAAGCATTCATAATGGGATAATTGTTACTTTTTTTCAACTATAATATTTCAGTCTCAGTAAATAAAATTATATGTATATATAAGTCAGTCAAATGCAACATAGAACTTTGTACATAAGTACATCAGTTCATGTTGCCATACCACATCAGCACAGAGATGTAATTGTCAATTCAAATCCAATAGTAGAAGAGGTAGTAAAGGTATTAGAAGTAATCGGAGAGGTTAGGATGAGAAGATATTATTCATGAAGTATGATTAAATGAGAAAAGTTTAGAAAGTCAAAACTAGAGGTGTTGAAGAATCCAGAAGATTAGGATTTGAGAGAACACAAAGAGTAAATGCACCGGCGCCATTGCGAACGATTTTGAGCCATGTCATTCAAGGTCTCTAACCATCGATTATTATCATCTCGCGGACCCCAACCAGGTAGTCGACAATTACCGACATGGCTCAGTCCACTAGTCAATGACTTCATGGATTTCTGCCATGTTTTGGTCTGGCCGCCCCTAACTTTCTTCCAACCTACTCCTACACTACAAAACAAGGCTCGTCGAGGCAGTCGGTGGTTCGGCATACGCAAGACATGTCCCAACCACCTCAACTGATGAAGTTTCACCACTTCATCGATTGCTCTCCCATCCTTACCTAGTACTCGTTTCCTAACGACAGCATTGCTCACTCGGTTGTCCCACGGTATTCGAGCAATGCTTCGAAGACACCTATGATCGAAAACCAGTAACCTACGAATATCTTCTACTCTCACTGGCCATGTTTCACAGCCATATAGGAGAACGGAGCGAACTGCTGCACAGTACACTCGTCCTTTAATTAGAGAACGGATATCACGCCTACGCCATAAGTGACGCAGGTTGGCAAAAGCCAATCGAGCCTTCTGTATCCGAGCTGAGATTTCGTCAGTCACCAGGCCATCAGCACTGATGAGACTCCCAAGATAAGTGAAGCGGTCTACACGTTCGACTACTTCACTCCCTATCACTAGTTCAGGTGCCGATGCAACCAAGTCTTGAAGCAACATTTTGCATTTCGAGGGGGAAAACCGCATCCCGAACATGCTTGCATTGTTGCTTAGGGTAGTCAGAAGACTCTGCATTTTGTCAGCATCTTCACCAAGTAGGACAATGTCATCGGCATATTCTAAGTCAATAAGCGAGCCACCTGGTAAAAGGTCTACTCCTGAAAATTCAGACGAGGACAATGTTATGTCTAGGAGCATGTCTATGATAAAATTAAACAAGAATGGAGAAAGTGGACATCCTTGACGGACACCACTTGATGTAGAGAATTCCGGTGACAGTTCGCCATAAGCCCTCACTCGACCAGTGGTGTTCGAGTAAAGGGCTTGTATAAGGTTAATGTACTTCTTTGGTACACCTTTCAATGACAGACACTGCCACAGAACCTCACGATCCACTGAGTCAAATGCCGCCTTTAGGTCCAGGAAGACAACTATTGTAGGACGCCTAAATGTGTGTCTGTGTTCCAGGACCTGTCGTAGTGTGAAGATGTGGTCTATACAACCACGTCCAGGTCGAAAACCAGACTGGTTTTCTCGAGTTTGCTCTTCACGAGCTTTCGTTAAGCGTCGAAGTATTACTGAGGCCAATATTTTAGATACTATATTAGTTAGACTTATTCCCCTGTGATTGTCACAAGAAGACTTTTGTCCTTTCTTATAGATTGGGACAATCAGTGATTGAGACCAGTCGGATGGGATCACGTCCAGTTCCCAGATTCTACCTAAGATCTCAGTCAGCCTAGTTGATAAAACTGGACCACCATCCTTAAATATCTCAGGGGTCAGTCTATCAGGACCTGCAGCTCGACCTCGCTTCAGATTTCCTAACGCTTTTTCAACTTCATTAAGACTAGGAGGACTTACGTCGATTTGCCATTCAGGATGACTGGAGATCGTGGGTAACCGAAGAGTGGCTCGAGGCCAGTTGAACTGATCCCTAAAGTGTTCTGCCCATCGATCCAGTCTCCTGGATTGAGAATGGATAATAAGACCATCCTTTTCCGAGATAGTCTCACTTACACTATGATTCCTAATACCAGTTTCCTTGATAAGTCGGAAAAGTTGTCTACTGTTGCCGATCGCCGCTGCCTTTTCCATCGCTTTTGCTTTCGCCACCCACCACTGTTCGCGATCGTTACGTAGGCTTTTTATAAGTCTGCGCCTAAGTTGACTTCGTTCTTCATCATGTTCAGAGCCAGGTGGGATGAGTTTTCGGGCATCCATTAGATCGGTGGATGCTACTGAGATCCACGATTTCATTCTAGCCTTATGGTCAACCTTACTAGCAGATATCACTGCTGTTTCCACAGCCTTTTTGATATCATACCAACCTGCTTCTGGATGGGAATCGCTTGCATGGTTGCTTAACTCTCTTTCTAGTTGCTCCTGAAATATTTTCTTGGTTTGATTATCATTAAGTAAAACCCTAAGAGGCTTTCTTACGGTGTCTTTCCTACGCCCAGTAAGCCTTAAACAGATACGAGCTCGCACTAGGGCATGATCTGAATCCAAACATGTGCCTCAGAACGAGCGACAGTCCTCTATCGAACCCCTCCATCGGTGGCTGATGGCGATGTGATCTAGTTGAGTCCAACGTTGAGACGACTTCGGGGGTCGCCAGGTCAACAGATGCTTTTCCTTATGCCTAAAGTTGGTGTTCGCTAAGAATAGGCGGTTATCTGAGCATAGTTGCAACAGACGGTCGCCATTGTCTGTTCTCTCAGTCGCTACACCATAACATCCACCAGGATGTCTTTCCTTTTCACCTAGTCTACCTACTTGAGCATTAAAGTCACCAGCCATTATTACTATATCAGAGCGCCTAGCTTTTTGGAGGAGGTCCGAAAGCTTTCTGTAAAACTCATCTTTAACCTCGTCTGCACTGCAGTCAGTGGGGGCATAGGCAGATATGACGAAGAGGCAACGGCGAGTGTCCCTATCCTTACGAGTCCTTACTGTCCCGTTTAGTCGGACAGCGCACAATCGACTATCTACTGGGATCCAGTCAAGGAGAGATAATTCTGCCCTAGGACTCAACGCTATGCCTACGCCAGCAAGACCCCTGGAAGCAGCATCAGGGCTACCGGATACACGAAGAGTGAATCGGGCTGCTTCTTCGTTTTGACAAGGTGGAATCAGGTTAATGACTTTACTAGGATCCTGTATGCGCGTTTCCGAGACGCAGCATACATCGATGGCACGAGTTTCTAAAGTCCTAGCTAATGATGCCTGTTGCCCTATTTGACACAATGTCCGTACATTAAAAGCTCCAACATGTAGTCTAGAACGGGGTTTCAGGAGACCAGGAACGACGTTTTGTGATCTCGCTTCGTCTGCATTAGCGGTGCAGTGAGAAAAGGGAGTATGAGTAGAGTTAGTCGTAGCGATAAGAGAGACATTAGGGGGTGTAGGAAGGATTTGATTTTGACCAATTTGGTCTCGCGTGCTGTTACGGGTATGAGGGCGGTTGTCACTTCCCGGCTGCCCACACCGTGGAAGGTTGTTTCTTGAGGGACCTGAAAAGGAAGATGGATTAGTGTTGGTGCGTGACCGCAGAGCCCAAGGGACAACTGCTTGAGGCCGGTCACGCACGGCCTTTTTATGAGAGGTTTTTTGAGGATTAGCTCCGCTCTTAAAGGCCCTTAGTGGGCACCCTTACCGACGGAGACGGAAATTGGTGAGGTAGGGTGAGGTGTGACATTTTTAGGGTCGACCTTTTCTAACCCTTCCTTCCTTGTGAGAAGGCAGCATCGCTGCAGATGCTGGTTGTCCGAGGGAAACACCTTACTGCTGTCACACCTCTCTGCAGTCAGCAGTACGACTTCGCCCTCAGACCTTGGGTAGCTGCTTTTAGTCTCATCGTTCTCCAATCGACCTGCCTGGCATGGTAGGACCTGCAGGAACATATGTTCCAGCCAATATAGCTCGGTTGGGTCATCACGATAGGCAAGCCCGACCACCACGTCAAGGTAGCAGCTTCGGTCGGGTATGTATATGTAATCTTGCACCTGTGTATTTTGTCTTGTATTTTTCGCCCTTAATGATGTATAGTCAAAGGCAACTCTTTATTCTAATGTAGTCATTGACTTCTAAATATTTTTCTGAGTATTCCTTTAAGGTCGATGTAGATTCGATATTGTGAATGTTCAGAAAACTAATCCTTAAGTTAATAAGAATTTTCACTTTATAATGAAATCATGACCAAATATCGTATTTCGAGCAGTAGACAGAGAGACAGACAGACAGACAGATGCAACGTAGAACTTGGTACGTAAGTACATCAGTTCATGTTGCCATACCACATCAGCACAGAGAAGTAATTGTCAATTCAAATCCAATAGTAGTAGAGGTAGTAAGGGAATTAGAAGTAATCAGAGAGGTTAGGATGAAAAGATATTCAAGAAATATGATTCAGTGAGATAAGTTTAAAAAGTCAAAAGTAGAGGTGTTGAAGAATCCAGAAGATTAGGATTTAATAGAGAACACAAAGAATAAATGCACCGGCGCCATTGCGAACGATTTTGAGCCATGTCATTCAAGGTCTCTAACCATCGATTATTATCATCTCGCGGACCCCAACCTTAAGTCGAACAGTAGAAATAGTAATGTTACTAGAACATACATCTGGTTTGCATGATAGATAAACCACCGAGTATTTCTTATGTTTGTTATTTATCAAGTATTTTTGAATATTCGATTTTAATCATAATATTATATCAATGTCATTGTTTTTACTTACTAGGTGATTCTAGATTTACTGTTATTCGTGAAGCAAATTCACTCTGCCCAGATCTTTTATCCAGTCGTTTATTGATAATGGAGGCAACCTTTTTAGATAATCCTGATTTTAAGATGGAAAGAGCTAGAAGTTATGGTCATACGCATTTAGATGAAATTCGTCAGAATGCTTCTTTGCTAAAGGTAATTGCTAGCTTTTCCTTCAATATGTAGTTAGCTTTAGAAATAATTAAATACTTTTTGTGTCACATTTGTAGTAAATTCAGTTATTACTATGAACTTCTGAATTTTTTCCACACAGAAGTTATTACCATTAATTGAAAGAATCAAGTACAAGCGGCCAAACCAAAAATAACCTGTACACAAAACGGTGTAATATTTTTCGTAATGATCTATGGTACAAAAAGGCTAAACAATACTAAGAGAAGCTATTAAGTAATTGTTATCATTTTTTTAAAAGAAAACGGCAAAAGCAATTCAACTGTTTTCTATTTATCAATATTTTTGTCTGCATTGTTGCGGTACATTAACATGAAGAGAAGTTCTACCACTCTTATGGTTTACGTTAATTTAGCTTAGAATATACAAGTCCCTGGATCATACTGACTCAAAATTACATCTTTACAAAGTCAAGATCATTACTATACCGATTGTTATAAATGAGGATAAGTGTGTATGATTTTTCAAACCAATCCGTAAACTTAATGAAAAAAAGTGAAGGTATTATTTCAGAAATTCGGTTTAATAATTAATATGGTTTGATTATTGTGAAATCTAATTGTTTTATCATATCAGACAAAGTTAGCAAAGAATCTTCATTTTGTAGTGAATGAGAACACAGGTGGCGCAACCGAATTGTATTTAACGAAAATTACAGAGTTACTCAGTAAAATTGGAAAACTATATCGTAAATCGTTCATTTGCAAAATAACAGTCCATCATATCGAACTGGACTGTTCCTGTTACAAAACATCAATCCATTGTCACTATTCATGCGTTTCATACAAATTCCATTGTTTTCTAACTCTTCCTTTCTTGCTCTTCCCCCATCTTCTGCTGCCAGACATTACGTTGACACTCACGTCAAATACTACTTATAAGTAGCTCACACCACAATTTAACAAAATTATCGCTTTTATAAGCAGCCGTAAATGACAACAAAAGAGTTATTCAATAATTTGTAATGATTAATGAACAGCACATATAAGCGAACAATATTGTTTTCGATTAGATCGTCATCAGGCTTTACTCTTATATACATGAATATTGATATGAAAATGTTAAACCAATCAAGGCAATTTGAGTGATAATCACAATGAAATGAAAAAGATTACGTCACTTATACAATAGGCAAAAGTACAAGTGGATAGTAGGAAGACAGGTGTACTGAAAGGGGTGTCACGAATCTCTTCTGAACACATAAATTGGGGTTGAATGTACGAATTGCTATGGCTTCTGCTATGTGTAGGAGACGGGGTCGAACTCCGTTGGGAAATGATTGAGGTATGTGATAGATCACCCGAAAAGATCTAGACTTATCTACAATATGACCACTATCAATCAGGTGTGCTAAGATCGAACTGCGTATTATTTTTGACTGACCCTTCTTAAACCATGCTGGGAGATGTTCACTCATTCGTTGGGTAAGTTGCCTGGTAGTACGTCCGATATAACTATCTCCACAGGAGCAGCTGAATTTGTAAATGCACATAGAGGAGGCCAACTCAGGTAACTTATCCTTCGTTTGGCTATACCTCGGTGGTCGACTTGAGAAGGTCAACGCAAGTTTGGCTACATTGAATGTTCTATTAATTGGTCTCATTAATCTGTCCTGCAGAGTATCGCAGGCCATATCTCCGTTGAATTGTAATTTAATAAATAATGGCTTCTTTTGGACGGTCGAAATTACTGACTTCTTTTTTACATCAACCATATACTTCCTAATGAATGCGCTGGGGTAGCCGATCTCGGTCAGTGAGTTGTTGATAAATTGTAGCTTCTGACTTAAAGTATACATTGAACAGATCAGTTTTGCTCTGCTAATGAGACATCTAACCAAGTTTCTTTTGTAGTGGATAGGTGTAAAACTACAAAAGTGAGTGTATTGACAAGCAGCAGTATACGTATATACGTTAAGTAGAAGCATATGTAGAAAAAATCAGCTACAATAGTTTAGTGCTATAGCATGTGGTTTTTTAACAAGCAGGTTGCACATATAGAATTCATTTTACTTGTTTTTGTTTGATAAGCTAGGTAATATACCTATCAGCTGTTAATGTGTAACAGCAATTTGGTTCAAGGTTAAGTTCTATTAGTGTTATGATGTTTGATAATTGCAACATAGTCTCTTTAACTATTCATGAATCTAAGTTCCATGTTAGCATAACATACCAACATTCTCCTAAAAACAAATATTAGTGCTCCATGTAACGTTCAAACCCACGTCATCTCGTTTCTTAGTCTGTAACCTGTACAACTGGATAATCGCTAATTTCATTGACATTATTACTGACTTGCTAATTGGTTGAATTTTATTAATAAAATTTTCATTTTCTTCACTTTTTCTTTCTATTTTCAGTCAGTTGATTATATCTATCTGATACACTTCTCCGATCGATACAGTCGTAATGATATCATTCGACTTTGTCATAAAGATATGCCTAATTGGCTAGTCAATCGTATTATACCATCTATAACTGCTAAACATTGTCTTGAAGGCAGATAATATATATATATATATATATATATATATATATATATATATATATGCAATAAGGATTTGTTTTAATTTGTAAAACTTTGTAAAGTTTGTAGAGAGAATACAGAGAGCAGTTTTCATTGAATTAATCTCCTTTTAATATTCTGATTATTTAACTTGAATCTATAGATCAATTCATCACTGTAAATGAATGAAGAAAAAAATTCCTCGTTCACATAAATCTTTGTAAATATAACTTTTTATTTATAAGAATTTTAACTACTTGATAAAACTACACAGAATTAATTGATTATTTAAAATGTGTATCATTCAGGAGAACAGCCAAAGTTTTTTTGACATGTAATAATTCATTGCTTGCTCATGCTCGATAGATTATATCATATCGGTTAGTTGTATAATTATTATTTTTTTCTACTTTCATATTTCTATTCTTTAGAGACTATCGAACTTGATCAATAAATTTTGTCCAGTTTTAATTAATGCAGCTATTATATTTTAAATGTTTTATTATACTAGTGCTTATTTAAATTAATAACATGTAATAATAAAATATCCTGTCTATAAGTTTGTTTCAAAACAGATTGAATGTATTCTATTTAGTGTTATGTTAATATAGTTAAGAATTCTTTAGGTCTTAATGAAAAAAAGATTTTAACAATTAGTGGGGGAAATATGATGATTCGATTTCTTAAATTTCAGTGTCTAATCAATTGGTTTAAAGGGGGATAATTTGGTGTGCAATATTTACTTTAGTAACCTACAGGTTAACTACAAGTTATATCTGTTGGTTAAAAAAGACTAGTCATATTCATACGTAACATTATAAATTAAAAACAGAATAGCGACTCCAAATTAGGACTTGCATTATGATGCAGTCGGGTGATTTGTGCAATGTGTGCTCTATCCACCAGTGGTGTTCTTTCCTAATTATCGCTTGAATTGAGAGTTGGTTTGGGTTCTCTGCCACAGTAGGTTGTTGCTAATGGTATCCGGCTAACAGATATGAAGTATATTGCTTAGGCAACTGTTTATAAATACCTGTATATTTAAATGATGACCTTCGTAGTTCTCCAAGTTTCCGCTCCGGTTAGTAGAAGTGTTTTGACGTTTATATTAAAAAGTCTAACTTGCAATCGTTTTGAGTTCCAGATGTTCTTCACTTGTAAACAATCTTAGGTAGGGTTATGTAGTGTCTGTCATCTATGACCATTTCGTTGAAGGCACATGTTTGAGAATGCCTCACTAATTTTGTTCCTTCCTCCAGAACCATGTCCTATGATATCTTCATACTAGGTGTTGTCTTTTTAAACCTTGACGTTTATTTCCCTATCAACATGATCAGATCTTTTGCTGGGTAATTCTCTACAACTAACTGCAGCCTCTTATAGATTTGATCTTTGTCGTTCTCACTGTGGTCGTTGGTGGGCGCGTAGCACTGAATGGAATTCATTAGAATCCTCTCTTTGTTTAACTTTAAGAAAGTGTTGAGTATCCTAGGTCCATGAGATCCTCATTCTGTAGGTGCTTCCAGTGTTTCTTTGAATAAGATCAGTGACACGTCGTATAAATGGAGATCATTCAACTCTCAGGTTAGACGGCAGACGGTTTAAGTGATGGCTTTTGGTGAGCATCTTTGTAACAAGTTTGCTTTCCACGATATATAGTTTTTAGACTTATACTCAACTCTCCTCAATTGAACTTGTCACTGGTAGTATTCCTGGAAGGATTCCGGACGGAGTTTGATTTGCAGACATTTAACCGAAGACGTACTTCGGGATTCTTTCTGTATCATTGAATCATTTAGCTTGCACCAACCATATTCATCGTTGATCACATTATGTAGAACTTAATGTTCAGAAAGTATCTACTAATGCCCTTTAATTGTCTTCATTGACGAGTCAATCACAATTGAAATATTTTATAGAATTAACAGTTAAATTACTTGATATGTAAATAAGCACTAGTTAATGAAACAATTTTGTAAAAGTAATTTATTTCAATCATTTCATTGAGTACATAATCATTGATAACAATAAAATAGCTGGGAAAATATCATTTAAGCAATAAACTTGACAATTGATGTGTTACAATATTGCGTTGTTCAAGTTTTCTTTGCTAGAAAAGAAATCAATACGTCGCTTTCGTTTTTATGTTAATAAGAAAGAAAAAAGTTATTATTTAGCTTATGGATAAATTGATAGTAGTAGGGTTGAACTGAGATACTTCATTTCAACCATGTTTTATTCCGGTTTTACTACTTAATTAAATCATGAAAACAAGTGTAGGAAAAAAGGTTCTTGTTAGTAACGCAAATCACTTGCTTTAAGAAGCTTCTTTTAATAATGCAGATTGTGTGTGGATGGTTTTGTTTTAGTCTACAATTACACTTCTAAAATCACTTTTAATCAGTTGATAATTAGCTTGCGTAGATGTGGCATGCATTTTATACAGTGAAAATTGTAATTGCATTTATTCTTTTTGGTAAGTTGCTAGACTTAGTGAAGAAGTTCGTGTATCTGTACCAGTATATTGGCACTTGGGTGCGTTATTTCATTTATTCTTTTAATTCACATAAAATGTTTGATATCTGAACATCAAAAACAGTATACTTCAAACACAAATAATTGTATAGGTTGGAATACTGCATGGGTGTCCAAACGCAAGTAGTTTGTTTTTTTTAAGGTGCCCTCGTGTTAGCCTTAACCTTAAGATCTAATTCACAAGGTACCTGAGCAACGTCAAGCACCTTTCCGTGATGGCCAGAGATCAAAAATAGGTTCATACACCATGACCATTCCAGGTGAAGAGACTGGATAGCATTTACTTGACAGACGTTATGAGTGCGTAGACTTATAGGAGCATTTGTAAGTAGAGAGCGAACTCGTTACGTTGCCCACTGTATTAGGGCATTTTGAGAATTGGAGACTTCTCGGAGACTGATATGATCGGTAAGATCAAGGTTCGTCTAGCTGAAGCTCGTTCAGCTAATATCACTCCAGGTCGCCTTTCATCAATTGATGTTTGAATCAGTCGTAAATGGTGAATAAACAGCTAGTTGATGTCATAATACTTCGAAGTGAATAAATGGTTGGTCTTGGATTATCGGTTGCTAACCCACTGTGAACAGCTTGGTTTCATTCTAAATATCGTTTAAATTGTTGACGTTGTCGGACAAATCTTCGTGCTGTTTTTCCAACACACTTTTCATAAACAGTGATACTTTTGAATTGAAGAGTACTTCTGATTATGTCTTTGTGTAAACTGTATCCCTACAGTCCTACATTATATAACTGTACCTCATTCAGCTCCGCAGCATATTCTATTTGTTTTGAAAGATGCTTATCTCGACCCTTTAATATTATAACCACCTATAATGTTATGAGTCAATTACATTGTTCTATGAGTGGAAATGTAGCAAATTAAAACTATTGTATGGTTTTGTCACGTCTCTTGGTGTCAGTCAGTCATAGTCAGCGTAGAGCCTTGTACGGATGGGCGTTGAACTATAGCAGTACGTCGAGGTGAAACTAACAAGATGAGTGTCAAAGGTGTGGAAATAATAGTGGTAGCAATCGTGATGAGTAAGGATTGGAAATATGGAATGGAAATATATGTGCGAAGAAATACCGGTACTGGAACTCGAAGGTAAGATGAAGTGATATGTCTGAGCTATGTTACTGAATGTCTGCAGCCACTGGTTATGACTTGAGCGTGGATCCCAGCCAGGTTTTTTGCACCCATCAATATAACTTGGACCAGTTGTCAGTGACTTCATAGACTGGTACCACCGTTTGGTTTGGCAGCCGTCTAGTCTTCCGACTTACTCTTACACTAGCTAACATTACCTGTCGAAGGAGGTCGTGGTTGGGTACATTGAACAAATTTTTTAGCCATCTCGATTGATGAGGATTCAAAACCCTAACCAGTTTTACATGTTTGCTTGGTACCCTAGATTTGACCTCGAATTTACCCACTTGATCATTCGACCACACGCTAGCAATTTGTTGACGCCACCTACTCATATTTTTCATGTTTGTAAGCCAGATTCTACAACCATAGAATATTACTAGTGAACTCTTGCGCATAATACTTGCCCTTCTGTTTGTGGATGAGCGTCTGGCCTACACCACAAAAGATGCAATTTGTCAACGACCAACTGAAGTTTTTTGGTTCGCACCGATGTCGTTTATTCACAAGACAGGGGAAGGGTTTATTTCAAGGGCTGTTGAAATCATACAAACTCTGAAAACAACAACAGCAAGTAACATACGGATCTCTGCCTCTGTTTTTCTTCTTGATCCTTCACTTCTTGACTGATTATTTGATGTCGTTGCTGGATTATGTGATGTTCTTCTTTTCTGTAAATCTTCAGCGTACTAATATTGATAAGAATAGTTAATCAAATGAAATAAGCTTATTCAAAGTGAATGACAGACAGTATGATGAATTCGATATGGTAAATTATTGAAATTTGTTAAATTGTATTAGCAAATGTAATAGACTCCAAGTACGTCTGTGTTTGTTATCGCTTTGAGTGAACATTTGAAAATTTATCCTATTTTAAATTGTGAATTGCCCCATATATGCTACATGAGATCTAATTTCATACTGTATATACTGATTCAAATTAGAAATGTCAATGTAAATTGTTTTTACAACTGCTTGTTTGTTTCTAGTTTCGTCATTTTGTGTAAGCTGTGGATTGGTGGTTGTTTACTGAGTGGTAACTAATGTCATTTAGGTCACTAGTCTGAATGATTCTGTTTTGACCTTAAGTTTCGTACCATTTAGCACTTGCTAGTAAGGCACACCTGTAATTTGACTAAAATCAGGCTTCCTGTGAAGTTAGGATCCATGTCTAGTTTCAAAGTTCAAGATGTCCCTAGTAAGCTTCTTGGATCACAAGAGCTTTTCTTTAGGGTTCACCTCAACAATTCTTATGACATAGAGATGTTTAAAATTGCGTAACTATGAACACTTCTATATACGAACTGAATGTGCGTCTCGCACGTTGTCCCAGATCTTTTATAGGAAGGAAGAAGACGGGACAGACCGGATGAAATAGGTGAATTTTCTGGCGATTTCGTGGTTTCGAAAAAATACCGAAACGAGCTAGAGAATAAATGGAAGGTACAGAGCAGTAATTAGGTGCGTGGCTTCAACTTGTGACCCGATTGCTGAAAGTCCTTGTGTTTTTTTACTTTTTCTGCGTGCTAGTGTACTGCTCGACTAACAGTTTGACTATTGTTTACAATTTTTCACAATTAGTCCAAAAATCGTTTCTCATCTAATTGCACTGATCACAAGAAAAGACTTCGGCATTTGGTATATTTTGCCCGAAAATTGAAAAAAAATTCACAGCGTGGTTTTTGAAGTTAGCTCTAATTTTAGGCTATTAAGTGTTAACTCATTTATGGAGTTGGAATGTTTCTTCTTTACGTTTAATAACCAAAGCATAGAAATAAGTAACACTGTATGATAATGATGGTTGCATAACATTAAGGATTGAACGAAGTTGTAAATGTATATCGATGTATGTGGCTTCGAAATATTGAGTTAT